TTGTCAAATAAATATACAAATTTAATTGCATGTAATAAAGAATCTATCATGTATATAAAATAATTTTAAATGTAATATGACATGATGCCATATTGTTTTTGACTAACCTGTTGCACAAGTTGTTTTTGTGACACGTTAACCATTTGTAATTACTATAGGCTGTGTGTGGTTGTCTTGCCATGCTGTCAAGTAAAGACCAAGTTTGGGAAATCTTTCAAACTGCAGTGCAAAACTATTTGGTGAGCATAAACATATATTTACAATGGTTTTGTCTTTCCTCATTGTAATGCCATATTGTTTCCTGCTAAAATTATAGGCCTCGCAAATACTGTAGAATACTTTATTTTCGCTTGGAATTTATGTTCGCTATTTTTGCTGAAGGGATGATTCCGTGTAAATAAAATCCAGCGAATATACTTTTTTTCCTATATTTCACAAAAAAATCAGTGAAAATAAATTCCATACAAAACGCCCAAAAAGCCTTTTCAGCGAAAATTAATTCCAGCGAAAATAAAGTATTCCACAGTAAATTGTTTTTTAAAAATGGGAAATATTTTGATGGGCTCAAACTTTGCAGGTTTCATAATTTGTCTACTAAAGTCAATTTTGCAGTGGTGAAATAAGTGAAAAAAGATTGACCAACATTTTTTTGGGCGATGCGCATAATTATCAAAAATGTATCTTTTTTTTAAGGACTTAGTACAACATTTCGCATATGTATTTTTCTGTAAACTCTTTGTCAAATTTTTATTTATGGACATAAATTTCTTTTGGCTACAGATCTACAAGTTAAAATTTCAGTAAAACTGCTGTGAATGTTACAGCTACCTAGCATGATTTCACTTTTGTGGATTCTCTTCGCTTTCACTCTTGATTTTCTGCCATATAGTATCCACCAAGCAAACAAGGTTACAAAACATGTCTTTATGTGCTCTCTGATGTCCATGCTCTCAAAATGTTAATACATTGTCACAGTTAAATATACTGAAACTGACAACGATTTAAAAAAATGATTGATAATGCTGATTTCACAAATGATGGAACTACAGTATAGAACCACACATTGTACTGTGTCACAAATCACAATATTATGCACATCATTCTTTACTTTATCTCCATTTTACTTTTAAAAAATTTTAAATTTCAGCTTTTATTTCTTCATCAAAATTGTTTTAATTTTTTTCCTTTTCAGAGTAAGGTTACTCACCTTCCCATTCCCACACTAAGTGCAGTATTGCTCTCGATACTCCATTTGTATCCTGGCAACACAGATGCATCACTTAGCAACAGAGAGCTAACAGATGCAATAGTGATGTGCTGTTTGGCAGCATTGTATCACACATCACAAGTTTACAGGTCTGGTTGCTATACTGAAGACAGTTGGGTTATGAACCTAGTTGCTATGGTAACTGGTGTTATGGTAACACTGAATGAAATATGGGAATCGTTTCCACACTATCTGAATTCAGTGCTTGATGGTAAGTTTCATTTCACGTTTCTAATGTTACAAGTCAGTGACCATTTAAAAAGTTTTGTGTTAGCCATTAATTTCCAACTAGTAGTTTATGTATATGTACAAATGGCAGATTCTGATGTGATGATTTATGTATCATTATGGTGGGAATTGAATGCACTTATCAATCTTGGGGGGGGGGGGTATATTGAGTATTGTGTGTATAAGAATAGTTCCCATAATGCACTGGGTTGTGAAATGTCTTCTTTTTTTTATTATTATAGATTCCCTGTCAGAAGATAATTTAAGAGGAATCGCTTTGATAATTATAAAACTACTACAAACTACAGAACTGAATTCTAGAGTTAAAGAATCAGAAGAAATTATGCAAAGTATTATCGAGAGCATTATAGTAAGTGTTCAAATTATTATTTTGGTTACTTTTGGTCCACTTGGTGTAATATCCACCTTGGCTGACATATCAGGTGAAAGGTTATGTTGGGTCACCTGGTGTAATATCCATCTTGGTTAACATATTAGGTGAAAGGTTATGTTGGGTCACCTGGTGTAATATCCACCTTGGCTGATATATTAGGTGAAAAGTTATGTTGGGTCACCTGGTGTAATATCCATCTTGGCTGACATATTAGGTGAAAAGTTATGTTGGGTCACCTGGTGTAATATCCATCTTGGCTAACATATTAGGTGAAAGGTTATGTTGGATCATCTGGTGTAATATCCACCTTGGCTGACATAACAGGTGAAAGGTTATGTTGGGTCACCTGGTGTAATATCCATCTTGGTTAACATATTAGGTGAAAGGTTATGTTGGATCACCTGGTGTAATATCCACCTTGGCTGATATATCAGGTGAAAGGTTATGTTGGATCACCTGGTGTAATATTCACCTTGGCTGACATATTAGGTGAAAGGTTATGTTCGGTCACCTGGTGTAATATTC